CGCTGCCCGCAGGAGGGAGCGCGGCGGAGCGACGGGAGCAGCAGCGGCCCGTTGGGGCAAAGCAGGGCAGAACCGGCCCGCCCGGCCTCCGCCGTGCTGCCCTCGGCGGGGGGTCGGGGGCTGAGTTCGGGGTCTGAGAGGTTGGAGCCGCCATCCTCCCGCAGCCTCGTGCCGAGGGGGTGAAACAATGGAATTCGACTCGACAGCACAGTTTCACACTGTTAAGCAGGTGTTCTTTATTGCAGCGCTGGGGTGGCACTGGGGATTCTCCACAAGTGCTCTGCTAGCTTGGCACCATCACACTGCTTTTATGTCCGTACATATTACATATTCATTAGTTTTCCAGAAATCATTTACGTAGTAATATCTTTTATATTACATCACATCAGCTTTTTCTTGATTGTCCCATGGTCTTTACAGCCATCTATTGTGCTTTTGATGGTAACACAGTTACTTCCGGTGGTCGTCTGGTGATTGAGTGAGGAAGTAAGAGTCTTGTCACTGGTCCACGTGCTGCCGTCAATACACGCTCTATCAGGATCACAAGTGATTGTAGAAGTACAAAGGTTGCAACACTTGCATGTTTAGCTATCATCTCCTGAACATCTGCTACACCTTGGGTAGATGCTATCTGATCATCCTGTTTCTAAACAATGCGCTATCGATTAGGGCTAATCCTAAGAGTCAGAAATCCTGGGGGGAATTTCACAACTTTGGGGTACAAGATTCAGCAGCTTCCCTTCAGGGGCAGGTTGGGTACGCCATTGCCAGTCACAGTTGGGGTGCTTGACCCCTGCCGCAGGCCAGGGTTAACAACAGGGGGGTGCAAGGCAGGGTGTGCCCAGTCACCATCCCAGGGGACTGCAGGCTGCGGCCACCTCACGCCCGTTTGGGGCACAGGGTGGGCAGCAGCTCAGGGTATCGTTAACGGGTCTGGTCTAGGTATCAACCGCCCCTTGTTTGTGTCAGTCAGCATCCCCACACTTGGCAGTGGGCACATGCCCCTCCAACGCCTGCGTACCCCTGCGGGGTGTTGCCACTGGCCGGCTGTGTCAAAGGAGGCCTTGTCGTCCTCCCCTGAGGCAATGGTGGACAGAGGGAAATAAAGACAGAAGAGTCCAGTTTAACTGGATGGACGGACAATGTAGACCTACTAATACCCACAGATTCACACAGATTCACAGAGTGGAAGGGGTTGGAAGGGATCTCTAGAGATCATCTAGCCCAACTCCCCTGGCAGAGCAGGATCACCTAGAGTAGATCACACAGGAACAAGTCCAGGCGGCTTTTGAAAGTCTCCAGAGAAGGACACTCCATGATGTCTCTGCGCAGCCTGTTCCAGTGCTCTGTCACCTCATAGTAAAGAAATATTTCCTCATGTTCAGGCTGACCCTTCTGTTTTCCAGTTTATGGCCATTGACCCTAGTCCTGTTACTGGACTTTGTTTGCCCCATGGTAGCTTCCTTCAAGTCAAGACTTTGTATACAGTAGTGAGAACTGGTAAGATACAAACCAAGTCTAGTTACACAAATGCATGACATAATCCATTTCTGTATTTTTCCTTGATGCATTTCAGGGTGTATTCATTTTCCACAGGTGTCCTGAAACCAAACTTTCAACATAATAAGCATTAAAAATCATCTTGTACCATTCATAGTATGGAGGAAGTTCTGTTTTCTCACAGAAGTGCTAAAGAGGGCTTCCAGAAAGGCAGGTCACAGAGATGCCCTCCACAGTTGCTTGATCAGAGCACCAGATGTGGGACAACACACCCCAACCCTGGTGCTGCTGTTACAAAAGTGCTTCAGCTCTGTTAACGGTGTCTGGAAGGAGCTTGGGATCACTCAGTAAGGCATCTGCACGGGACAGCAAAGTGTTTTATTACAGCTCTCATGCTGAGTAACAGTACTTCGGGTCTTACATTCAATTTTCAGTTAAACTTGATTAACACAGAAAAGCAAGTTGCTCCATTCCTGAGTTACAGATGGCAAAGTTGAAGTTCAAACACACACAGCACGTATTACCATGGGAAAATCTGTACTGTACTATTTTCCATGCAATACAGATCATCTGCTGACCTAACAGCATTCCTCAAATTCCTACCAGTATCCTTCTAAACAACTATTGGTCAAAAAAAGAGCTACCTGCTCAGAGTAATTGTTTTGAGACATAGTATACTGGTACGTATAAACCCTCACTCATTAAATACTTGTATTTAGTAGTGATTTTTGTCTGAAACTTACACTTGAACCAAGGTGAGGGAGAGAAAAAAAAATACACAGGAAGCACACGTTACTAGACCTCTCACAGACAGCTAAATAATCCAGATGTGTTGATTCTCCAAAAGAAGTGGAAGGATTGGAGATGCAGACTGGAAGAGCTGCTGTGAACAGTTACACAGGTAAATTAGATAAATGCTAAAAATCATAACATTTTTCACTTGTAGCTTTCTGCTATAACTGACAAATGGAAGCAGCAAATTATGATGTCTCTTGTGAAAATTTCTAGCAGTAATTAACATATTTCTGCTAAGCTGAACCAAATAGTACTAAGACCTGCTGAGAATGCCTCAGATGAAAGGTCCTCCCAAGCCAGTGAGATACTGGCTTGCATGACTGTGTTAAGGGATTCTCTCTGGGGATACAAAAATAAGAGAGAAACACTCTGGAGGGTGTCCTGCACTAAATTGGCTGTAAGCAAATCAGACACAACAACATGTCGGCTGTTTATCCTCACACAGCTGAGGTTCATTTTTTCTAACTAATGCCACATCCATGACATTAAAGCTTTACTGCTCAACTTAATTTGCAAGGGAAAACTAAGCAGTATTTTTATGGAAAGTCATTTCCTTGAAAAGTATCAGGAAAATATAAACCAAAACTCCTTTTATCATCCTATGAATAACACTTCTGATTTATGAACAGACGATTGCATTTACGATTGAGCTTTCAACTAAAAATATGACAACAAAACACTTCAGATTAAATATTTTATTTTATAATAAGCCTTCCACCAGGATCGCGAATCATTTTGTGTATCACCCAAATAAGTTACATTCATTCTGAGCTCTCATGCAGCTTCAAAAAAGTTAAATGTCTCAAAAAATAATTTCAAGTGAGCTGTAATAAACTATGCATACCAAGCCAGAATTCTTTCACATCAACTAAACATTCCAGCTTTCCCTCCCGCTTTCACAATACAGACCAATTACAAAAGCCCCTCCAAACCTGCACTAACTAAATGGAAACTCAATTAGATTACTGAGATTTTCTGAATACCTTGAATAACAGCAGTAACGCTTCGGAGTATGAGCGAGGCCACTGAGCTGAGTGACAAGAAGTGACATTTTGCTGAGAATACTAAAGTATCTTAGGTGACAACCGAGTTGCAAAGGGCCAGACCACCACCAATGAGCATGCAGAATGCAAAAAAAGAGGCAGCAAACCTCACATTCACAAGCTTAATCACAGCTTTTAAGGGGAGACAGCATTTATGCAGTCTTCTACTATTTCAAAAAGGTAGTGATATATATCAGTCCTCCGAGCAATGTCAAGGGCCGTTTCATCCAAGTTGTTTTTCAGGTCTGGTTTCACGTAGCGATTCATCAACAAGAGTTCCAGGGTCTCTCTACTGTTTTTGTTTCCTGCAGCAATATGCAGCGGTGTCAGCAAACCGTTTGTCTGTGCGTTGATGTCGGCGCCCTGCTGAAGTAAGAACGCGGCCACTTTGGTATTGTTCCACTTACAGGCGCTGTGCAGAGGTGTCCAGCCGTCCACTGTCTGCGCGTGCACATCTGCCCCTTGGGCGACCAACTCGTGTGCAATGTCCAAGTGCCCGCTGTAGGCAGCGCGATGGAGAGGAGTGTACTGATCTTCATCACGAGCATTAACGGGAGCCAGCTTTTCAGAAAGGAGCCTCTTCACTGTGCTCAGCTATTTAAGGAAAAGAGGGAATTTAACACAAAATTCCAGAAAAATAGATGTATGGGGCTTACTGTTCCCAAGTTCTATGACAAACTGAACATGAGCTGGCAGTGTGCGCTGGCAGCCCAGAATGCCCACCGCATCCTGGGCTGGGT